TCAGTCTGGCTACTTCATAATTTGATGCTAAATTGTTGAAATCTAGGAGCTTCTGAGCTTCCCCATGGACCCTTTACCAGGGCAACCGTAATTACGCCTCCCGTTCATAAAATCCTGGCCTAGGACTATTGGAACGTTAAGTAACGCCTTATCATGTGACCTTAGAATTTGGAATTTCTCGTTATTGGTCTACTGCTGTTAAGATTCATCCTACCATTTCAATATACAATAGACAATTAATGGAGAGAATTCGGCATGAAAAATGTCAAACCCTGACAATTTAACTATAAAATATACATGCTCCAAGTCAGGAACCGTTACATTAGTGCATTTCACAATTATTTTATGTTTTTTAGCAAAAAAAAGGTCCAAAATTTTTTTCGCCTTGCTCCGCTCGGATTTGATTCTACGCCCCCTCTTTCAAATATCCTAGAAACACCCCTGGCTGGCTACAAGCGGACACAGCTGGACACAGTGCTATTTCTATATAAAACTTTATGAAACATGGGGCTACAGACGGACACAAGTGGACACAACGTAATTTCTATATAAAACTTATTTAATATGCTGGCTACAGGCGGACACAGCTGGACACAGTGCAATTCCTTTATAAAATGTATTAAAACTGGGGATACAGGCGGACACAAGTGGACACAACGTAATTTCTATATAAAATTTATAGAATCTGCTGGCTACAGGCGAACACAGATGGACACAGTGCTATTTCTATATAAAACTTTAAGAAACAGGGGCTACAGACGGACACAAGTGGACACAACGTAATTTCTATATAAAACTATAGAATCTGCTGGCTACAAGCGGACACAGCTGGACACAGTGCTATTTCTATATAAAACTTTATGAAACAGGGGGCTACAGACGGACACAAGTGGACACAACGTAATTTTTATATAAAACTTATAGAATCTGCTGGCTACAGGCGGACACAGCTGGACACAGTGCTATTTCTATATAAAAATTATAAAAACTGGGGATACAGGCGGACACAAGTGGACACAACGTAATTTCTATATAAAACTTATATAATATGCTGGCTACAGGCGGACACAGCTGGACACAGTGCAATTCCTTTATAAAAATTATAAAAACTGGGAATACAGGCGGACACAAGTGGACACAACGTAATTCTATATAAAACTTATAGAATCTGCTGGCTACAGGCGGACACAGCTGTACACAGTGCTATTTCTATATAAAACTTTATGAAATAGGGGGATACAGGCGGACACAAGTGGACACAACGTAATTTCTATATAAAACGTATAGAATCTGCTGGCTACAGGCGGACACAGCTGGACACAGTGCTATTTCTATATAAAACTTTATGAAACAGGGGGCTACAGACGGACACAAGTGGACACAACGTTATTTCTATATAAACTAATAGAATCTGCTGGCTACAGGCGGACGCAGCTGGACACAGTGCTATTTATATATAGAAATTACAGAAACAGGGGGCTACAGGCGGACACAAGTGGACACAACGTAAACACAAGGTAATTTCTATATAAAACTTATAGAATCTGCTGGCTACAGGCGGACACAGCTGGACACAGTGCTATTTCTATATAAAACTTTATGAAATAGGGGGATATAGGCGGACACAAGTAGACACAACGTAATATTTATATAAAACTTGTTTAATCTGCTGGCTACAGGCGGACACAGCTGGACACAGTACTATTTCTATATAAAAATTACAGAAACAGAGGCTACAGGCGGACATGCACAAGTGGACACAACGTATTTTCTATATAAAACTTGTAGAATCTACTGGCTACAGGCGGACACAGCTGGACACAGTGATATTTCTATATAAAAATTACAGAAACAGGGGGCTACAGGCGGACACAAGTTGACACAATGTTATTTTATATAAAATTTATAGAATATGATAAAATGATTCCTTTTTGTTGGTTTGTAATTCTAAGACATCCATGGTGTTGTACGTGATCCTCATCTCTTGACTGTGGTAGAGTTGGATATTCCTTGCGCCTTTCTCGGTATATAGCCATGGTCAAACTCTTCAGGTCTTTATCAATAAGTGTTTCTTCTATAATTCATTAATTCACAACGGACTAATTTCATAGGTCTTGAAGTTATGTCTTTTGTCGTTTTTTTTTCTTTATCTGCCTCTCAAGTTTTCGAGCACCGGACTCGTGTTTATGTTCACAGTAACCATTTAGAATGGCTGCTGAATGTTCGTCAGTTTTTATACTGCCTTTGCAATACTTGACAGTGTAAGGCCATGAAATATACCCTAAATTCAGTGTTCTATCAGTACGGAATGTAAATCCATCGTATACTATTGATTTTTTCTGCTATTTGTTTCAGAAAAAACGAAACTACATGCTTGTGCCTTGACGCAACTTTACAAACTAACTTTAATTATTTACATGTATGTCTTACGCTATAACGGGATTTATCATGATCACTTTATATTTATTTTAGAATTCAATATAAACAATATATAATTTAAATTGACAAATATTTTCAAAATTAATAATTTATAGTCATATTTATTAAGAAAATTAACAAATACTAGTCATTTATATCTTTATATTATTTTAATTTATATTACTTTTATTAGGGCCACGCCGAATGGCGGACGCCCTATAGTGATCAGTCTGTCCGTCCGTCCGTCTGTCCGTCTGTCCGTCCGTCTGTCTGTCCGTCCGTCCGTCCGTCCGTCCGTCCGTCCGTCCGTCCGTCCTTAACAAATTGTGTCCGCTCTATATCTAGAGAACCGTTACGATTTCAAAGTTTATACTTTTATACATGTATATTAACCAACACCATAGGGTGTGTCATAATGTATGTACAACTTCCTAGGTCAAAGGTCAAGGTCAAAAACTTTGGTTTTAGTTGACAACCCCATGTCCTATGGTAAAGATCGTGTCCGCTCTATATCTTGAGAACCATTATGATTTCAAAGTTTACACTTGACATGTATATAAACCAACACCAGAGAGTGTGTCATAATGTATGTACAACTTCCTAGGTCAAAGGTCTAGGTCAAAAACTTTTGTTTTAGTTGACAACCCCATGTCCTATGGTAAAGATCGTTTCCGCTCTATATCTTGAGAACCGTTATGATTTCAATGTTTATACTTGACATGTATATAAACCAACACCAGAGGGTGTGTCATAATGTATGTACAACTTCCTAGGTCAAAGGTCAAGGTCATAAACTTCGGTTTCAGTTGACAACCCCATGTCCAATGATAAAGATACAAATTTTTTACCACACATTATTCACAGCGGGGCCCACAGAGTTGCTCCCATCTCAATGATATCTAGTTCTACCTGAGTTTACCTGTAAAATAAATGCGCGCAAATGTAATCAAAAGCTGCGCGCAAACGTAAAAAAAATGAATCCACAAATGCGCGCAAACATAACGCGCCCCTAGTAAAGATGGTGTAAATGTTCCATATGAGTATTTGGACCGTATGCGTACTTTTTCAAAATACGTATACGGTCGGACTATACGCGTACGGTCTGCCCAATTTTAAGAATTAAGTTGGTCAAGTTTATCAGATACAAATGTATATTACAGATCAACATAACTGAAATTTTGAATTAATATAAAAAGTTTAATTGTAATGGAAATAAAAACTTAATATTTTAACTATATAAAAAAGTCACGTTAATTTAATATGTTAACGTTAATATCATGTGTTTAGCATGTCAGTAATACAGGAGACTGAATTATATAATAAGAAAGTGTCGATAACTTATGCAAAGATGGAAAAAGTAGCTTTGTTACTGTAAGAATACCAGTTGTTGATAGGGCATCAGGGGATCTTCCCCGATTATTATATAGGGTTGATGATATAATTGGTAAAGATGCAAGTTTGTACAAACTATCATGTTAATTTGGCATATTAAACATCTTTTTATGATATGGGTGATATAGAACTTTTGACATGCAAAATTGAAAATGCACATAGGAAAACAGAAGGAATTTCATGCAAAGGAACATGCATGAACAAAACTGACGTTCCTTGTGGTAGCAAATGTCACCATGGGCGAGAGTGCCAAAATAGTATTCAGATAGACAATCAAATAAATATTTAATTTCAATTGATTGAATGTTCACTTATTCACTTTATTCATCTAATTGTAGTAATAATGATTTGTAAAACTCATTAAAAGATTTTGATAAATGTTTTGTTTAAAATTAACCCAATATCATCCAAATACATGTATGGTCCGACTCATATTAGACCGTATGAGTGTACGCGAATGGTAGGACCGTATGAGTATACGCATACGGTCCAGACCGTACGCAGGGGCGGATCCAGCCATTTTAAAAAGGGGGGTTCCCAACCCATGATAAAGGGGGGGGGGGTTGCAACCATATGTCCCCATTCAAATGCATTGATCGTCCAAAAAAAAAGGGGGTTCCAACCCCCGGAACCCCCCCTAACCCCACCCACCCCCTCTGGATCCGCCACTGGTGCGCGTACGGTCCAAATACTCATATGGTCTGGAACATAAACATAACATCAGTATATTGAAGTTGTCTGAATATCCTAGATATTGACTTGTTGATTGTCAAAACAAATACCGTACTATAATGCCTTAGGGTTTATTCCTTAAATGACTACATCCTTTGATATGCCGACAAAGTACAAATACAAATATTATGGTAATGACGGAATAATGTCTGATTAAAATTAACAAAAAGTAATTATAATTTGTGCATCCAATTAAAAGTCAAGGTATTACATATTAATGACAGAAAATACTTCTTTTTGTGGGAGGCGGGGCAATAAAGTGAAAATGAAAGTAGACTCCTTATATCCGTACAAAAATATTTGAAGAATGCACAAATACTAAGAAAGAATGTTAAATAAGGAACTTTCATGCTATGTTTTCCGTCAATTTGTTGATATAATTGTAAAAAGAACAGATCAAACTCCCGACGAGTCCCGTATTGTTTTATTATTATTTTCTACTGCGTAAGCGGCTACATTCGGTCAGCAACCAGTTACCATGACCTAATGATACATTTTCTTTGAAAAAGGCCTGAAAATGGCTTCAATTTTAAAAAACCAAATTCTTAAGCATCTTTCAAAGTAAGTTTAATTGACAACATAAAAAAAAACTGCATAATAAGACACAGAATATGAAATTACAATCAGTACACATAAACTGACGAGATGGTTAATTTACGTACATTGATATAATATTTATAAGTATAATAGTAATCATTCTGAGTTGTCCTTTGATTTATTAAGACCTTTTTCGTCAATCCTTATGCTTCGTTTTCGTGATTTTAAGTGTGGAATGGAATTAATGCACAAATCATGTTATAAAACATGTATAGATGAATGCCCACGGTACTAGTCCTTGTGCTGTGCTGTTGAAGTTCTGTTGCACAAATTATGACAGTGTCCCAGTTTGGTATCAGGTCACATTCACACTCCATATTTTCACATCTATAAACATAAACACTGTATTTATTTGAATACTGGTTGAATTATTAGATTTATATAACAAAATATAAACATTTGCATTAATAAAAATTTTTGATTTTTTTTGGATAAAAGATTTTTTTTTGTGATTAATTTTTTATTAATTATTAATCAATAGGAACTGATAGCTGTAACACAACATTAATATATCATGATAACATATACATGTTGGTACCTTCAAGCTTCTATACACATTGAAATAAATGATCTATAGGAACTTACAATGGATATATAGTTTAAATACAACATCTAATAAACTTGTGCTTAGTGGCCTGGTTATTGTGTTATCCTTTGTTGCCATGGCATATTCATTTTTCAAATTACGTGAAAATAATTCACAAGACACTAAAGGAAACTAGTTTACGCTTAAGAATGTCAATTAATTTTATATCAATAAAAGAAACCTTTTCTTTATTTATAGCAATACACTAACTACATGAACCATAATTAAAAAGATTATTCAACACAAAACCTTTTAAAAGGGGCGAACGTGAAAAAGAGCGCGCATGATTTTGGGCAAATGGACCTGGATTCTCCAAGTTTGGGGGAGGATAGACCTCTGACAAAAATGTTTAATCCTGCCACAAACTGTCTATTGTTCCATTCCAAAGTCATAAGCCAGTGGCTGATGTTGGTTGCTGTAAAACATACACATAAAAATCGCATCATGTTATTTAAGATAATTTGGTAGTGTGAAAATTTTTATTCAACATTTGTTCAACAGACAAGCCAATGAATGAAAAGATGCATGTTTGGAAATCTAGTTAAATTTTTCAGCACACAGTGGATTCAGATTATTCCCGTACAATGTAAGCAGACTGTCCACAGGATTCCAACCCTTCATTCTATTAAAAATTCTTTATATAAGTACTATTGTAGAAAAAATATTGACAACCAAGGGAGACAACTCTATCATGTATATCTAAAAATAGTTTTATTGTACCTGTTCTAGTAAATAAAATTTACCTGGAATAATGAAGTTGGTCTTTGATTGATAGTTGTCTACTTTGAAATCATATCATATAGCTCCTTGGAAATTACACCATACATCTCCTTTTTTATATGACAGCAAACAAATTTTGGGGTCGTATATTGCTATCATGTGGTCGTCTGCATCATCGTCTGAAAAAAATTTATTGGAGGGTGTCAATTTTTTTCTTCAATATTTAAGAAATTGTCAATTTTCCAAAGAAAAATTGGGGGTCACAATTGCTTTAGAATTCTTTGTATATAGTCTGAAAACAGATTTACTAAGTATTGCGCAACAGCACAGTGTATTGCACAAAAGCAAGAAATCTTCAATTGAATATAAATTCAAATCATATAACCAATTTTAAGTTCTTTGACTACATTTATTCTGTGTCAGAAACCTATAATGTGTCAAATATTTAATTACAATCCAAATTCAGACCTGTATCAAGCTTGAATATTGTGTCCATTTTTGCCCCAACTGTTCAGGGTTGAACCTCTGCGGTCGTATCCAGCTGCGCTTGGCGATTCAGTGTATTTTTATATTGTACCTTGTTCATATTGACATTTTGGTCTCGATTTGTTTAAAAGTATGGTGGTATGTTAAAGATGTAACCATGGTAGCTGACATCTGCTAAGTGTTAAGATCTGAAAATCTATCAATTTTGAAGTACAGTACACAACATACACATGAACAAGGTGGTTTAGTTGAACATCATCCTTGCTGGTGTAAAGTGATTGACAGTGAGATAGGGTAAATCCTGTTGATTTAGAGTGATAACACTGATTCAAGATCCTGTCTTATACTAACAATTGAATAATGTAAGTTTCAGAAATTATTGTGTGCAGTTATTATTGCAATTTTTGTTAACTAAACAAAAATGTGTGATGAAAAACTTCATACGGATACTGGTATATATATATATATCATGTATATGTTGTATCATTTATCAGAATGTGAGTTCATATTATTGTGATACTTACCCAGTCACATTTTAGCATTAATAAAAACCTCACAATAATTTCTGAATTTACAGTATACACAACGGTATTTTCTAGGGCCCGGTGAATAACCAACAATCCCAGCATTCACTGGGATAAATACCACCAAGAGGGATTTAACTCTGAATCACTTTGTGTGTATTGTAATAGTAGCATACCCTGAATCACTTTTGTGTGTACTGTACTAGTAGCATACACTGAATCACTTTGTGTGTATCAGGGATGGGCACGATTACTGTCTTACATGAAGGATTTTGGTGTAATCGATTAATAATCGATTACTCTGATTTTTGTTTGTAATCGATTACAATCGATTATTTTATCAAAAGTAATTACATTACTTTTCGATTACAGTCAATTACATTCTACAAAATAAAAAGAAATAACTATGAAAAAGTTACAACAATATTGGTGTTCAACATATTTATAGTGGAAAATAACAAAATTTACATTAGCATCATTTAAAGCTTTTTGGAACAACTAAGCTGGCAGACACTGACTTGTCTTTCTGAACCATAATTGTGGCGTCTTCAAATTGTTTCAGAATAGAACAAAGTTCCTTCAAAAGTTTTCTCTCATAAGGAGACAACTGAACTGACGCCCCAGTTTTTGCTAGTTTTTCCTCGGGTACTGCTAGAATAGACCTTATAATTATTTGAGAGTTCCAACGAGTTGCATTGTCTTCTCTCATTTTCAAGGATATCTAAGGCATTAACAGATTTTCTTACAAATTTAACTTTATTTGCAGCTTTTGAGATAACTGTTTTTAAACTATTGCTAGTGTCTTTCAAACCATCTTTTACCACTAATTGTAATGTATGGACAAAGCAGTGGCCTAGTGTAGGGAAATTATCATCTGGTAATTCAACATTAACATCATCAATTTCAGACTCGCTATCAGATTCATCACCACTTTCATTTTCAGATTTTTCATCAATCAATGTGTCGGGGAAACCCGGAAGAGAAAAATTGAAAGCCTTTTTCATATTGGCAGCATTATCAGTTATAACATTTCTGACTTTCTCTGATATCTCATACATCGCAAGAGTTTCTTCATACTCTTGGCGGATTTTATCTGCTGTATGTCTCCCCCTAACTAGCTTACAAGAAATCATCACAGATTCTAGTTTCCAATTTCAGATAAAGTGGCCAGTCATTCCGAGAAAGTCTCGCATTTGGTGATTGGACCACATATCAAGAGTTAGACATAAGTGTTCAATAGAATTCAATTTATCTCTCAAATTTCCATCAACCTTAAAATAAACTGTTTCCAAATGTTTTGTTGATATCTGTTTTCTAGAGGGAAGTTCATATCGAGGATCCAAAATATTTACAAAACTCCTGAAAAATGGGTTTTCCACTAGAGAGAGCGGTGATAAGGTGCACACTGTGTATTGTAATAGTAGCATGCTATTTGTTTCCGTTTAATGAATTTTTGTAATTGAAAACAATTTTCTTGCATTTTATAATCATACTAGGAATTTACAATTGTATAGCATGACCAGCCAGTCTTAAGGTACTAATGTCACCTGAATGTCAAGGGAGACAATCCTTTTAGTGAGAAAATACATGGGTTAGTAAGATAATATTTTTCAAACAAAGATGATTAGCTTGATAAGACTATATGCATGTTGTATTTTTACAGATTTACAAAGAATTTATCTCCTGACAAGATCAACCTTAGTACACTTAAGGGTGAGGGAGAGTTATCTAACCTTGAATTAGATGAAGCCATTTTAATGGAATTGTTGGATCTTCCAACATGGATGAGATTAAAACGAGCAGTATGTAATAAGGTGTCAATCAAGGTAAGATTTGCTTGTAAGATCAAACAATATAGTACAATGTATTTACCTGAACATATGATATTGGTAATGTAAACGTGTATTTACAATAATTGTGAAATTGATATAAGGTAAGGATTTTATAGCTGATTTATAAGGTTTATCCATGCAACAATTCTACCATGATTTATCTGCAATGAATATATTATATAAAAATGGAAACATATGGGATAGACATACATCAGAAAATATCTCAGTTATAGGGACATACATGAGACAATATCTCAGTTTAAGAGACATACATAAGACAATACATCAGTTAAAGAGACATACATAAGACAATATCTCAGTTTAAGAAACATACATGAGGGGAGGGTTTGGCCTGAGCAAACATGTTAAACCCAGCCACATTCTGTGTGTGCCTGTCCCAAGTCAGGAGCCTGTAATTTAGTGGTTGTCGTTTGAAGCTGTATATCATATTTGTGAAACGACTGCAAAAAAATTTTGCGGTCGTATATTGGTATGACGTTGTCGTCGTCGTCGTCATCGTTGTCCGAAGACACATTGGTTTTCGCACTCTAACATTAGTTTAAGTGAATGGATCTCTATGAAATTTTACCATAAAGTTCAATACCACAAAAGGAAGGTTGGGATTGATTTTGGGGGTTATGGTACCAACAGTTAAGGAATTAGGGGCCAAAAATAAGCATTTTTGTAACTTCCAGACATAACTTGTGTGTTAGTGTATGGATCTCTCTGACTTTGTACCACAAGGTTCCATATCACAAAGGGAATGCTGGGATTGATTTTGGGGGTAATTGCCTCAAAATTTTAGGAATTTGGGGCCAAAAAAGGGGCAAAAAACAAGCATTTTTCTAGTTTCATGACAATAACCTGTGTGTAAGTGTATGGATCTTTCTGAAATTGTACTACAAGGTTCCATATGACAAAGGGAAAGCTGGAATTGAGTTTGGGGGTAATTGCCCAAAACATTTAGGAATAAGGGGCCAAAAATAAGCATTTTTCTAGTTTCCAGACAATAACGTGTGTTCAAGTGTATGAATCTTTCTGAAATTGTACTGCAAGGTACCATACCACAAAGGGAAGGCTGGGATTGATTTTGGGGGTAATTGCCTCAAAATTTTAGGAATTAGGGGGCAAAAAAACAAGCATTTTTCTAGTTTCAGGACAATAACTTGTGTGTAAGTGTATGGATCTTTATGAAATTGTACTACAAGGTTCCATATCACAAAGGGAAAGTTGGGTTTGAGTTTGGGGGTAATTGCCCAAAACGTTTAGGAATTTGGGGCCAAAAAGGGGCCAAAAAACAAGCATTTTTCTAGTTTTCAGACAATAACTTGTGTTCAAATGTATGGATCTCTCTGAAATTGTACTGCAAGGTACCAAACCACAAAGGGAAGTCTGGGATTGAGTTTGGGGGTGATGAATCATAAGGGGGTTCAAAAAATTTTGGTTTTTTTATTTTTCCTTTTTCTTCTTTAAATTTTTCCATTTTAAATTGGTTATTTCTGAGTTATATATAAAAGCAATTAATAATGATATGGTTTGAATAGGTAAATTAACATTTTTTAAGTTCTTAGACCACATTCATTCTGTGTCAAATATTCAATCACAATCAAAATTCAGTGCTGTATCAAGCTTGAATGTTGTGTCCATACTTGCCCCAACTTTTCAGGGTTCGACCTCTGCGGTCGTATCAAGCTGCACCCAGCGGAGCATTTTATTTTTAGTTTATTGTTTTTGTACATAAATTAGGCTGTAAGGGACTTTTATAGCTTACTATGCAGTATGGGTTTTGCTCATTGTTGAAGGTCATACAGTGACCTATAGTTGTTAACTTCTACAACATTTGGTCTCTGGTTGAAAGTTTTCTCATTGGCAATCATACCACATCTTCTTATATTTATATATACATGAGACAATATCTCAGTTATAGAGACACATGTACATCAGACAATATCTCAGCTATAGTTATTCACAGACATCAAATATATTGATACTGCTCAAATAAAAACTAAATGTACGATTAAAAGATCATGAAATAAATTTTATGGTTCTAACTTTAAAAAAGTATAGAAGTTGATTTTATTGAATATTTATTTTCATATTTGCTTTTAACCTGTAAATGTTCACTGTAGTATTATATGTCTTATCAGAAACTTCTACGGTTCAGTAAAATACTTTATTTACATAGCAAACAGTTGGAAAAAATAAGATACTTTATTTACATAGCAAACAGTTGGAAAAAATATATTACATGTCATTTATTTAAAACTAAATGTATAAACAGACCATATTTAATAGGTTTATATTATTTTATTTTAATGTATTCAGATCCAGTGGACAAACTTAAAATCCAAACCAATATGTCTGGTAAGCAAAGTAATTTGTATTAGTTTGAAAATTTATTGAATTTTGACTCCGGTCAAGTAAGAGCAACTACAAGAAGTAAAATCAAGCAATTTGGGGAAAAAATTAATTGTTCAATGTTTTCTATACAGGACAAAATTATTAGAAACAGTTTTGTTTTTCTCAAGGAATTGCACAGATTGTAAGATTGATATTACTTCTTTTAGCTGCTCTTACTTTACCGAGTACAAGAATGCCCTACAACAGAGTATGTAACATGTCAAAAATCATATATAAGTCAAAAATCAGTAATATAAATATAGTCTAACAAATATACACAATGCACAAAATAATCACTTTAAAAAAACAAACATTTTCTCTTTTTATCATTGATTTGCAATACAATTCCAGAAATTATATAAAAAAGGAGATCAAAGGAAGGATAAAGAGTTAGCAGCCCAACAACATAAATCTATGACTTTCATCATTACATAAATTTCTACAAAAGGCTGGTCCAAATGAGCTCAGTGTCTTAGTTTCAGAGACATATATGCTCAACTTAGATGATTTAAATTGTGAAAACATGCATCAATAACCAATTTCTAGAATAAACATTCAACAAGAGTGAAAAGCCCCTAAAACAAAGCAAAAGATCAAGTAAATTGTAACACATTAATAGACCTTATCTCTATTTAGGGATCTGCGCCACTTGACCAAGAATTTGCGACACTTGAACTATTGATGTCGTACAACAATCACTTTTCCTTTGTGGCGTCAGATATTTTCTCTTGTGACATCAAAATTTTACGGGAACTTCTGTGATGTCCAGTAATCGCAGACAAATAGCGATAAGGTGTATGTAAATTCTTGATACTGTGGTTAATTATTATACCTTGAGTATGAATTTTCATGGATTTTATTATTTTAAATGCTTAACTTAGTACATGTACAAAGTTTCTATATGCTTGTATGCAGACTTTAACAAAACCACGATATCAAATATCTAAGAAATAAAAAAATTTCCTCAATCCACGAAAATTGGTATCCACAAAAATGAATGAATCCACAGTAATAATGATGATAAACCGTGGAAGATTATAAGATAAACATGCACAGTTATTAGATGAACAAAGTTATTAGCCAGTATCATACTTATCTGTTGGCAACATTACTGTATTGCCTTCATTAAAATTTGCTTATGTCAGATTTGCAGTCTTATTTCAATCAAAGTTGATCTAAACTTTCAAAGGGATGTTGTCATTTCTGAATTTGATTTTCAAAGTTTTATAAATAAATACTTCTGATTGCAGTATCTGGATGAAGTGATATTAGAAATTGAAACTTGTGAAGAACCAAGGCCGCCGAGTAATCCAGCCCATTTAGCTAGCTATAGGTAATATATTTTGACAAAAACCACTTAATAATCTAGTCAATTTAGCTAGTTAGATCTGGTAATCAAGACTGTCCAATTCTTCAGTCCATTTAGCTAGATATGTCAAATTAAGACCATTAGATTATTTTGTCCAATTACATGTTACAGGTAAGGTCTGTTATCAAGTAAGACTTACACAATAATTCAGGCTGTTTAGTAAAGGTTGGTTGTCAAACTTCAATGGTGATAGTTCAAAATATTTATTATTCAAAATAGGAAGAAATTGAACAAATTGAAACACCAACACCTTACATTAGCAGGGGTTAATCATTTGACCAATTATTGTGCCAGTAAACACAATTATTAAAAACTGGAAACTTATCTAAGACAGTATACTCAAAACTAAATTTTTTTTTTATTATTTTTCAGGTCTGGAGGAAAATATGGATTTGTTGATAGAGTTATTGATGGCATCTATGTTCAGATCAACTCTGTGTCTGTCAAGTTTATTTCACGTCAGTTTAATGCAACATTACAGGTAACTTTTATTGTTCGTGAGAGTTTTTAAAGGCAGTGCTTTAATGCCTTTCTAGTTGCCGGGTTAATCCTTCCTTCCGCGATATCCAACTTATCCACGTGGGGGGTCATTAGGCTCCAAGTAGATCCGGAAATGTTGAATTCTCTCCTCTTCTTATTGTGATATAAAATGTTTTTTGTTTCATTTCATTTACACTGGGAAATAGAGAAACGATCATTGTGTTTTATTAGTTTTAAAAACTTTTGATATATTTGTATTTTGCATTATAAGCAGTCAACCGATTGACAAACTAGAATTATTTGAATTCCGTGTGGAAAGAGCTCGGGTTAATTTCGAGTGTTATCTGCAATCTATATGTTTATAAATCATTTCAGTCGTTGATATAATAATTAAAGTTCGACTGAACATGAATTATATTATACAATTTAAAGCGCATTTCTGTTTATGCACGTGAACCCGTCTAACGTTATTGTTATTTCGCAGTTATATAAAGTAGCAAATTATCGTTCCTGAATAGGTGGCGCCGTGGTAGCCAATCCTGTTCCTCAACTTCCGGTTTCTGCACTGTGCAACCATTTCAGTTACATTTTTAATTAACGATGCCAAGTACTTCTTGTTGTGTACCTGGATGTCATTTAAGAGGAGGACATGCATTTCCAAATGACTTTAAAAGAAGGAAAAGTTGGATCAACGCCATGTCCCATACGCAGATTGGACGAGAACACGATGAAATCGTGGAGTCCATCTCAATCAGCTGTTGTTTGCAAGGCACATTTTACTGAAAAAGACTATGTGCAGGAAACTATTCATGGTAAAACTCTATTTTCTTTTTGAAATATATAGTTATATATGTAATCGCCATGCGAATAAACCAAAGTCTGTTTACAACCGCAATTATCGTTTTAGAATAAAAGGGGGTGGTTAATTCAAGACGTCATAATTTTTTGGATTACAATTCAATGTGATCTGTTTGAGATTTTTTGGTGATTGCTACAATTATAATGATTTCTTACAAGAGGTATATCATACTGAGAATTATTTTAGCAGTAATTATGCTAGTGTAGTAATGACAGGAATGCATAAGCTATGCCGGAAGCAAGTTAACTTGTACCATTGTAAACTCGTACCACGTAAACTCGTACCAAAAAAGTTAACTCGTACCAACATGAACTCGTACCACTGGGAAGTCGTACCAATCAGAACTCGTACCACTGCAAACTCGTACCATTAAAAATATATTCAAAAATACGAATGTTTTATGATTTTTTTTTGGGTAAACTTAATAAAAAAAGTTGAATTACTTGAATTTTATACTAGATTTTATTTTATGATTATTTTTTTTTAAGCTTTATACAAAAAATTAAAATATCTTTGAATTTTTTACCAGATTTTAATGAAAACTTAGACAAAAATCAACTTGTTTGATCATATTATTAAATTTTGATTGTTGTTATATAATTTAACAGCTTGGAATTAAATGTATAATGTTTATTATTAAATGAAATTCCTGATTATCAAAACATAAGCTGACATGAGTTGTCTCAAAGCCCACTTTCCTCATAAAATGGGGCATGTTTGTGAGGTTTCTCATAACCACAATGGAAGACGACAATTGTATATGGTGCCACTCTCTGGTTAGACCCCGACAAGAAGCAATAGAGTGTGATGTATGTTCTAAATTGCAACACAGAAAGTGCGGAAATATAGGTAGCTACAAATTGGTCACTGTAATTTCAAATTATATACATTTTACAGACTTAAGAGGTATCGAGTGAAATTAAAGTACATATTTATCATTAAACAACATTTTAATACATTTAAATAAGTTGGTACGAGTTTACAATGGTATGAATTTACCGTGGTACGAGTTAGCAGTGGTACGAGTTTGCATTGGTACGAGTTCTTTTTTAGTGGTACGAGTTGACATTGGTACGAGTTTACAATGGTACGAGATAACTATAATTCAGCTATGCCTCATAGATTTTCTTGAAAAATATCAATGACAATGTTAACAGGAACAAAATAATGACATGCTCTCATCTATATTATAGTTACATTTGTATTTAGGTACAAACAATGTTCGTTTGGTGCATAAGTCTCTCATTGTTTGTCCTTTGGATTTACATAACATACATTGAATCAGGCAAACATAGTTTTATCCAGATTGTAATGAATAAATCTAGTTAATATTTCGCCAGGTAATACAAAGTATACATTGCTAATGGAAGTTCATTTAATTATAAAAAAACTAATGTTTTATAACCTTTTTCAGGGCGCAAACCCACCATACAGAGACTTAAGTCTACTGCCATTCCCAGCCTATTTTCCTGGACCAAGCAAGAGACTGAATTGTCCGCAAAAAGAAAAATCAGGGCAGTTTCCTGTGAAAACAAAAGAACTAAACTTGATGAATATTGGAGTAGAAATCTAGAGGAAAGTTTTGATTGTAAAGTTGGTTTTCCTGAAGAAGTCATTCATACTGCAGAAAGGATTTATGACTGTCCACCACCAACTGCCGAGCTAATGTTGAGCTTCACAGATGGAATTACGCAAACACCATCAATGCCTATGTTTTCAGCAGAGAATTTTGAAATGAAGACATGTGACACAGCCATGCATTTTTATACCGGTTTAGAGTTGTATACTAAATTTTTATTTGTTTTGACCACACTTGGTCCAGCAGCACATTGTTTGAGATACATATATTTTCAAATTGATAGGGTGTCAGTTGAAAATCAGTTTTTTTTATGACTTTGATGAAATTGAGGCATTATACAACCAACTTTGAACTTTCTAGATTCTAGATTGAATCTAGTGTTAAGAATATTGTGTATACATGGATTGTTTTTATGTCTAAACATTGGTGTGAGGCTAACACTTGGCCATCTAGTGGTTTAGTCAGGTATTTTTCACCATCCAACTTCAAATTAAAGTTTCCTACGACTTGGATTATTATTGACAGCACAGAATATCCTGTGATAAAACCTAAAGCTCCTAGAGCTCAGGCAACCTTTTCATCATATAAAAACAGAAACACTGAAAATACTTGTATGTTCGACACCTGGTGGTTTAGTCAACTATGTCTCTAATGCATATGTTGGTTCTACCAGTGACTATAAAATAGTTGAAAGATGTAGAATAGTTCAATTATGTGATCCAGGTGACAGTGTGATGGCAGACAAAGGTTTAAATGTGCAAGATTTGTTTGCTAACTTTTTTCAAAAAAAGAAACAGAATTAGTTCCAAAACTCTTATACGGGATAGAAAAGTCTCCAATTAACATGTGCACATACATTTGACATAGAGCGAATTATTGGACTTGGCAAAACATACGAAATTCTAATAAATCCTATGAATGGAACTGAAACAAAACTTTCATCTATAATAACATTTAGTTGTACTATGTTGTGTAATTTTAGAACTTGTATTGTGCCAAAGGATGCATAAATAAAAGTGACGCAATGAATTTTGTTCTGATATATATATATTTATAATTACATGCACATGTAAATTGTAATGCATATAAAAATAAGGAGATGTGGTATGATATTCAGTGAGTTTATCGAACTAAAGTGCATAAGAAATGGGTTTAAGCAGTTACAGGTGTTACTGTCACCGTACAATCTCCAACAATGAGAAAAACTTGTACCGTGTAAAACATTTCAGAGATCTTACCACTAAGTTTTGTTGTCTCACCTTGACTTTGGTGAATTGTTTATATCTGTTGATGTAAATATAAAAAAGAAGATGTGGTATGATTGCCAATGAGACAACTCTCCACAAGAGACCAAATGACACAGAAATTAACAGCTATAGGTCACAGTACAGCCTTCAACAATGAACAAAGCCCATACCGCACAGTCAGCTATAAAAGGCCCCGAAATGACAATGTAAAACAATTTAAACAAGAAAACTAATGGCCTAATTTATGTACAAAAAATGAACGAATATAACAAATATGCAACACATAAACAAACAACAACCACTGAATTACAGGCTGCTGACTTGGGACAGGCACATACATGTACATACAGAATGTGTCGGGGTTAAACATGTTAGCGGGATCCCAACCCTCCCCCTAACCTGGGACAGTGGTGTAACAGTACAATATAAGAACGAACTATAAAAATCAGTTGAAAGAGGCTTAACTCATCAGATGGATAAATACAAATACAAGTGGACGTGGTCAGGTAGTTGTACATCCAAACAACAAAAAGACACTAAGTACAGATCTGAGAGTACTCACAGTTACTGACAGCTAGTTTAAAGCCACTAACAACTGATAAAAAAATCTTGCATCTAAGACCAAATCATCAATCCGTAAGCTCCCTTTAGAATTTTATAAATTTTAGATTTTACATTTCTGAGTTATGGGGTTTTATTCATTAAAAAAGGGGAGATTTTCCAGTTTTTGTTGAGCCTGCGACTTTTGTCGCAGAAAGCTCGACAGGGATAGTGATGTGGCGGCGGCGTTAGCTAACTTCTTAAAAGCTTTATATTTTTGAAGGTGGAAGACCTGGATGCTTCATACTTTGTATATGGATGCCTAATGTTACAAAGTTTCCGTCAGCCACATGTCCAATGTCCTTGACCTCATTTTCATGGTTCAGTGACTACTTGAAAAAAAAGTTAACATTTTTTGTAATGTTAAATTCTCTCTTATTATAAGTAGTAGGATAACTATATTTGGTATGTGCGTACCTTGCAAGGTCCTCATGCCCGTCAGACAGTTTTCACTTGACTTCGACCTCATTTCATGGATCAGTGAACAAGGTTAAGTTTTGGTGGTCAAGTCCATATCTCAGATACTATAAGCAATAGGTCAAGTATATTTGGTGTATGGAAGGACTGTAAGGCGTACATGTCCAACTGGCAGGTGTCATCTGACCTTGACCTCATTTTCATGGTTCAGTGGTTATAGTTAAGTTTTTGTGTTTTGGTCTGTTTTTCTTATACTGTATGCAATAGGTCTACTATATTTGGTGTATGGAATGATTGTAAGGTGTACATGTCTAGCTGGCAGGTCTCATTTGACCTTGACCTCATTTTCATGGTTCAGTGGTCAAAGTTAAGATTTTGAGTTTTGGTCTTTTTTTCTAATACTATATGCAATAGGTCAACTATATTTGGTGTATGGAAATATTTTATGATCTATATGTCAGTCGCGCAGGTTTTATTTGACCTTGACCTCATTTTCACAGTTCATTGCTCTGTGTTAAGTTTTTGTGTTTTGGTCTGTTTTTCTTAAACTATAAGCAATAGGTCAACTATATTTGTTGTATGGAAGAATTGTTAGCTGTACATGCCTGCCTGGCATGGTTCATCTGACCTTGACCTCATTTTCATGGTTCATTGGTCAATGTTTAGTTTTCTTGGTTAATGTTAAGTTTATGTGACAGTTGTAATAAAGCTTTATTTTAAGGACTATCAACATAATATCAGTGATTAGTAAAGAAGGCGAGACATTTCAGCATGTGCACTCTTGTTGGACAACAACTCAAAAATGCTTTAAGCAGTTCGCATGAAACTTTGGTGAATTATTTATAGCTATTGATGTAATCTCCCTATAGATTTTCATAAATTTCAAATATGACATTGAGAAGAATTTGAACTTTATTTGTTTATAGTCTGGCAACAGATTTATTAAGTATTGCGCAACAGCACAGTGTATTGCACAACAGCAAGAAATCTTTAATTGAATATAAATTCAATTCATATAACCGATTTCAAGTTCTTTGACTACATTTATTCAGAAACTATAATATGTCAAATATTTAATTACAATCCAAATTCAGACCTGTATCAAGCTTGAATATTTTGTCCATTTTTGCCCCAACTGTTCAGGGTTGGACCTCTGTGGGTGTATCCAGCTGCGCTCAGCGAATCAGTTTATTCCTTAATTAAGAACTCCTTTTTTCATTCATAAAATGCTTTAAACTTGGAAATATAATTTTGCTTGGAGTTATAGTTTCTTAAAAAAGTATTGTCATTGAAAGAGTTGACATGTTGCAATGTACATTTATTCTACATAGTTCTATGGTACCAAATCAAAAGTTTATATAAAAGAAAGAAGTCAAAGGTTTCCCATCATAGTTAAGTTACATACATTTTTTTGTACCTGAGGTCGTTGAATATAGATCATTATATAAATAAGGAGATGTGTTATGATTGCCAATGAAACAACTATCATCCATACTTAACAGTAACAAACCACATTTGCAGAGTTGAATAAAATACAGTTGATAACATTTACTTATTACTAAAAAGAAAATGCCTAACTATTTTAAACAGTATTTGAATATCAACTATATGGTCATTTTTATAAACTTCCTGTTACAAAACTAAGGATTTTCTTATCCAAGGAATAGATTACCTTAGCCGTATTTGGCACAACTTTTTGGAATTTTGGGTCCTCAATGCTCTTCAACTTTGTACTTGTTTGGCTTTATAACTATTTTGATCTGAGCGTCACCGATGAGTCTTATGTAGACGAAACGCGCGTCTGGCGTATTAAATTATAATCCTGGTACCTTTGATAACTAATTTGACTATAAACATGGATAAAAAAAGGTACAAACTGGACATAATGCACTAGTTCATAAACAAGTGAGAACAATCACCTTCATATAGTCCTCAGAATATGACATTCATATAACTTGTTCAATATCATTAGAGAACTCTAAATCTTAAATACTGAAAGCCACCTCTGATAAGTTCACTGTACTATGCAAGATAATGATATAACTGGACTAAAAGTACACACAACCTGTAATTAACTGCCTTTACAGCGCTTTCACGCTTTGATTACAGCTTGTCATCATGATCATGTGACAAGCACTTGCCTATTAAGATTGCATGCTGAACAGCTTGTGTTATGATGGTCAAATGTCATGAGCACTTTCCTATTAAGATTGCATGCTGGACAATAGATCTGTTTTTGTTTTATTGTGTTTTGTGTTAATAAGTAGCTTCTTGTTAATGTATACCCATATTACTATTTATTAATAACAATAAGAATGTCAGATGGCACGGTACAGAGACAAAACCAATCAATATACACAAAGAAACTTAATGAAGGTGAGAGTGCAAGACAACCGAACTCTACACACGTCTTCTTTGTTGGTATTTCTTTGATTACTCTTCTGAGATTTCTGTTCTTTTCCTGGCTAAATTTTGTTTGCACTTTCCTGTTCTTCTTCAGAGTGGAACTTAAAACATATATAAAAAAATCATTGAATTTGTTACATGTAATGTCTTATTCAGAATGCATACCATTAATTTTATAAATCTTATAACAGTAGCTGTGTAAGGAGAATATCTATAATTCAACTGTTGAATTGATCATTTTAGATTGTGATGTAATTTTTAAGTTCAGATAATAAAATGAAAAAGGTTTAAATGAATTAAGCAAGATTTCATAAGAAAAAATGGATTGGTCATCAGAGCAAAATAAAATGTATCATTAAAAAATAATACAATAAAACAATAAAACAACAACAAAAACACTTTTATTTTCAAATAATTTTATTTTAAAGGTGTGATGTATTTTTTTTTTTAAGCTATCCAGAGTTCAAGTTGGAAGTGTAACACCAACATGGCAAAAGACAAGTCACCTTGGCAACACAAAGTTGAAAGATCCAGATAGAGGAGAAATCCTTTTATTCAAAGAAGTTGAATGGCAGACGACACGAATTGAGGCCACAGCAGTTGAAGGAGAATCTAGTGAACAGTTTGTAACCACTCCCCTCAGATTTATAGCCAACCAATCAAAAATCAGAATTGCTATCAAGAAAAAATTAAGCGGTAGGTAGAAATAAGCATTAAGATTTCGCTATGTTGTTCTGTTAAAACATTCTTGCTTTGAATGAAAACTCACGTAAGGTTTCTTTAATTTAACAAGCATTCTTCTGCAGATCCCTTATTTCAGGCTGCCATGCTTTAACGTCTTTTGTCACAAATCTAACTGTACAGGTCTTAACATAAAAATAACCTGCTTTTCAAAGTCTTTGGGTCAAATGATCATGAATAAGAATAGTATATTTGAGTTGTTTCCCTTTAACCAATTAACTTAGTGTAAAAAAAAAATGTTATTTGATGTTGAAATTTTAAAAAGTACTGCAGATCATTTCACCTTTACTTCTTTTTTTTGTAGATTGTTCCATTATTTCAACCAGGCTAATGCTATATTTAGATGATCTTTTATGGGTGTTAACTGACACACAGTTAAAGGCAGCTGTATTGTATGCCAATTCACTAAAGGAAACAATAGAAAAGTCCAGACGACAAAGTAAAAATTTAGCTGCTGAAAAATTACAGGTGATACATCAAGAAAACTTTTAACACTTGAAAATATTTTCTACAGAGTACCAAAATTTCATGAATTTTTCTATAATGACCTGCCTTAAAAGATTATTTTATTAGTTTATTATCATTTCATTGGTTCAATTGATATTTGTTTACAGCCTCTACTCACAAATCACTCGACCAAACTGAGTAAAACTTTTCCTGTGAACATAGAATGGGAGTAAAAAAAATTTATATGGTCTTAGGTCAAATGTTTTTCACCTATCCAGAATTCCCCTATTATTTCATATATAGACACATTTGTTAATGACATTGTCAAAAACTAAGTCTAATCTTGATGAAATTTTTATGTTAAACTTACAAATGTGTGCAGTTTTAATGGTTATTATGGAATATTTTTTAGACATGTCATTATTGAGAAATCATTATTTGTATACAAAAATTGAAATTATGAGTCATTTTTTCCTATATGGCCATATGATTTTTTTGTGCAGAAATTAATATTTGTCTTTAAATAGTGATTTCTGAAGATATATAAATCATAAATATATTTCCTAGTTATTGCAAGAAACTGCAGACATTTCTGTATTTAATGAAATATAGGTAGGTGAAACAGTTTATTAGCATATGTGTTCTGTTGCATTATTTTGTACTTTAATTGCACATTGAAGATTGAACATTGAAGAAAAACCCGAAAAAAGACAAACAACAATCACTACACAGAAACAAAAGATTGAGTAACATGAATCACAACAAAGAACGAGGGTGAAGTCAGGGTTGCGTTGAATATCACAGCAGCTAGCATAGCAGCTATGCCCTAGATATCTATGACATGCTATATATGTAGCTTGTTCGCTTTCAAAAAATGCATCGTTTGTAAGATTATTCTGTTGAATGGAAATACTTCTATTTCTGCTAAAACATTGTGCCAGTCTTTTTACAAATCTCGTATGCTTGTAATAACATATATCTTTATTATCCATGTTTTTATTTATTTAAATATATATGAAGTCATTTTGGATTCTTTGACGTCATAATAAATTCTCTAGCTAGCATGTATTGTTTATGCTATCTTAATCTATGCAGCTGCTAGGCTAGCTAAATGTTCAGTAGTCAAAAGCTATGTAGCCCTACAAAGCAGCTATGATATTGAACCTACCCCAGGTATTCAGGAAAGGCCATAATTTCATGCTCCACTTGTGACATCAATTTGTTGTAAAACAGAAAAATCTAATTCTTGAAACAATAAAACTTTGAAGAGTAAGGGAAATAACTCAGATAATTTAGTTTTGATAAATCATTACTGCAATTTTATGTACTTTGATATGCAGCAGGTAAACTGGTATGTTCACTGAAAAACCTCAATCATTTTAGGGTATAACTCTTTTACCATCTGAAGATTCATGTACATTTTTGATCTATCTGAAATTAAATATGAATGAAAATTCTGTTGATGTTTTTTTATTAGTGCAGCTACATTTGTGGGTCCATACAGTTTGCAGAAAAATCTTTGGTACCCCAGATTATATTTTGTATGCATATTTTTTTCTTCAAATTGACAATGTAACACAATCTGTAATCCTGTTAAATAGTTCTAATGTTCCATGGAAGGTTAGTAATTTATTCAAAACGTTTGGACTTCCTCTACAAATTTGTACCAATGGTTTAGTAAATGGTGCCCATTACACAGTAATTATTTTAAAACAAAAATTTTCAATTGCACTGAAAAAAATGAAATGGTGAATTCTTAATACAAAATCAGGAAATACTGTATAAAGTTCTATGAAATCTCCAAGTTAACTGATTATTTTGTTTACAGAGACAGGGTCATGCTGGGAATACACCAGTTGTACAACAGCACCAACCTCAGCAGACGTCTGCACACTTTAGTAGATTTGATGTGCAGACGACATCTTATCACCTGATCACCAGCAGGATCGACCTTCACCTATGTGATGACAGTTCACCAGATACAGGTTAAAATAATACATATATCTTGGGTTTGTCTGCATAATAATTTCAAACTCATTTGCTCATATTGCAATATTTTGTTGAGCAGCAACAATTAAGTTATATATAAATTAAATTTAAAAGGATCCTATTTTACAGAAAAGTATAAAAGGTGGTGTAGATCTAGAATGATCTCCCTTGTTAGAAAGTGTAGTTATTTCCCTTTAATTAGTTACTTGAAAATGCAAATTAGTAAATGGTTTGTCTTGTTGGGTTGCAGATGTAACTTTTATGAGCATAATTTTAAATCACAAGAGTGTAGTTAACAGTATATGCAAATATGAATTTGAGTATAGAAAACCTTTGATTTTGACCTATATTATAGTTCAATAGTTCAAAATTACTTTCTTTCAGCATTTTTAAAAAAAACTTATTTTATATTCTCGACTAGTAAGTTTAAACATATGGTCTAATACTTGCAATGCAACACATTTTGTTTATAAGGAAATATTTGATATAAGGATTATTGCATGTTTTACAGTTCATGGTGCTGACCACAATAAACAAATAGAAGGCGGAGCTATGCAGGTTACCATACACAAGTTGTCAGTAGACATCTACCCCTATAATACTGCTGGTAAGTTTATTACTACACATTTGTCTCCCTTGGCTTACTTCCTGCCTTTTGTGGTCTGTATTTGTGGAGTTAGTTAATCATTTTTTGTTGCAAATTTTCTTTCTTGCTTTCTATGTTGTTATAAATTCCTGACTGTTTAGTATTAAAAAAGAAATAAAACAATTACTATATTTACTGTGTTTTAAAGAGGAAAGTCTTTTATAAAATACTAGTTAGAAGGAGATGGTATGGTAGGGCCACTTTTTTAACTCTTGAATAAAATAATCAAATAGTATCCTTTTAGACATTCATGAGACATTAGTTTTTTCTATATATAATTCAGTATTTATATTTTTAATTGTGTTTCACTTATTTGCTTAAGGGCTTTAAACTTCTTGCTTTTGATACAAAACTGCCAAAATAGTATAATTGTGAAGTCTTTGTCATTTATTTTGTCAGCCAAGGTTTTGCCCTAAAAGATATTTTGCTAAATGATGTCTTGCACACAAATGTGGATGTGGGTAAACATCTTTTGGGCTCTAAATGATGGTTTATATTAAGTTTTGCCATAAAAAAAACAGTATTTTGAATGGTCATTTGAATAAAAAAAATGTCAATTTCAAAATGTTTATGACATCACAGCTGACATTTTTCTATTTTAGTGTCAAGTTTATTTCATCAATGAATAAAGGATTGGAAGAATTGCAATTCATGTGCCAATGGCTCTTATCATACCTCCTTTGGTCCAGTCCATCTTTTTAGTTGTTTGAATTAGCATTCTCATTCTTATTTAAATGTGCACTTATTTTTTATACACATAAATACAAATTTGATACAGTATAAAATCCAGCAAGGAAAACCAACATGTTTATATTAATTATTTAGGATGACTTTCATATCTTTTCAATGAAACAAAACATCTTTCAGACATGGATTTAATAACTACCCGTGGTGAGTTACAGCATGTTTCTATGGCAACCAAACAATCATAAATTCATTTCTAAATGTTCAGCCTTTTTCAAATAAAGACATTTGTCAATTATCCAGAAGCATTGTCTACAATTACTATTGAACATTACAAAGAAGATATCCATCAGATTAATACGCATTTACTTAGCATTTGATCAGAAAAAAAACTTAACACAATTGAAGAATATGCAAATCATATTTTGATAAATCCATTCATAAATATCCCAAAGAAGCAAATGTATTTTGCATTTACTTGAATAAATTTTAGGCAAAACATACTTTTTATAAACTGGTTCCCCAATTTCTGAAAGAGCATATAGAACTGTTGCCTATACCTAGCAGTTGCTTGAAAATTGTTTACAATTCAAGATTATATGGAAACTATACTTTTCATAAACCCATTCCTCAATTCGAAATGGGCACTTGGAACTGTTTCATATCAGAATTCATATATTTTGGCCATGCAACAAAATTACTATGGTAGAGCAGTCCATTATTAAATAACTATTCAGTATTGTGACTTTTAAATATTTAAACTGGAAATAACTGAAATACTGCATGTTAGATATCACAACACTTATTTAAGAAAGTTTGATGAAGTCCTTTATCACTTATTTTTTTTTTAGCTCATCTGGTCCAAATTGCCTAATGAGCTATTGCCATCACTTTCTGTCTTGCATCTGTCATTTAAAAACATTTTTCTTCAATCTTCTCCTCCCAAGCTACAAAACTAATACAACCCAAACTTGACATGATCTATTTTAGGGTGTGTAGATCATAGTAATTTTATTTCAATCCAGCAATCAAGATGGCTGTCATTGCTTAAGATAGAACATATAAAGGGTAAATGGTCATTGTTCAATGACTTGAAACCTATGATAGATAAAGAAAATCCGTTCATAATGTTAACATATATATCTACCTTTCATTTCTACCAAAATTATCTGATGACTACCTTATTCCACTTTAAGGACAATTTTATATCAATTTTAGCATTTTGTATGTTAACTCGAGACTCGTCCTGAACATGCATGAAATATTTGCCACTGGATGTTAAGCTAACCAGTAATCAATCAATTTATTGGATGCCTTTACCCTTTAATAAATGACTGTTCTTTTAGCCATGATTTGCATTTTTGTTTCAAAGATCTTCACATCTACTAAACCAATTTTGACATTAAACATCTGCAATGTCACTGTGTGCAGATTTTAGTTTGTGAATAACATTCTGGTCTTTCAAAAAGCATATCCACAATGGCAACACATTACACACTTGTTGACAGTTGGTACTTTTTTCCCCTTTTTTCAGGATATTTTCTTATAGAATTTGTATGTTGCTTGCTAGATCATTACATCATGTATCTTTTACACAATTTACATTTACTTAATCTGGTAGGAAATTTAAAGATATAGCTAAGCATATGTTATTATTGTTTGACTTATTTGTGTTAAAATTTTACAAAATAACATTTTAGAGATAACTGTATTGTATTTAAAGATCTGCGGACGTCCATCGGTAGTTTTACTGTCGCAAATTGAGTTTACCTGGCGATGCGTAGCGGAGACAGGTAAACGGATCTTTGCAACAGTAAAACTACCATCAAACGTAAGCACCGGGCGTTTTCTGGCTTCTTGTCCGCTTCAGAATGGAATAAAATTTGATAAAAAGAAAATTTGTAGGTGCAAAATGTAAGTTTTTTTGCTTATTATTGGAGAAATTACATGTCAAAACATTCCAGAATTCAAAATGTCAGCTTCCTTATTTACAGACAAGGAGATAGAGAATTTTACGCTTACTGTCATCCAATCAGAACCATTGATACAAAATAATTGCATTAGAATCTTTCTTATCCATCTTTCTGACAGTAAGACATTTGTATAGCCATTAAATGTTTGTCTCATGATCTTAACAAAAATCCAATAACAATTTTCTGTACCAGGGCAGCTGCAGCTTTAAGTGTTTTTATTTTTATTGTCTCGCCTGCGAAATTCTGTCGCAGAAAGCAAGACATATGGATAGTGATCAGGCAGTGGCAGAGGCATTAACTGATTACTTAAAAGCTTATTATTTCAGAAGGGAGAAGACCTGGATGCTTCATACTTTGTATATAGATACCTTATGTAAAGCAGTTTCCATCTGTCATATGTCTAATTGTCCTTATCCTCATTTTTTGTGTTGTAATGTTAATTTCTCTCTTATTATGAGTAGTAGGATAACTATATTTGGTATGTGCATACTTTGCAAGGTCCTCATTCCTGTCAGACGGTTTGCACTTGACCTCCACCTCATTTCGTGGTTCAAGGTTGAATTTTCGTGGTCAAGTCCATATCTCAGATACTATAAGCATGGAAGTAATATTGAAAGGAATAACAACAACGCCAGTTCAAAGGTTTCATCTGCGTTACCGCCTATCTTTTGATTACTTGTTAATCAGTTTATGATATGGAATGGTAGTTGATTCTCCACATGTGATCGATCAAATCACTGACACTTTTCGGTCGTTTTCGTGTTCACTGAAAATTACGAACAGACAAGTTGTTGTCGTATATACGTGCGAAGTAACCCGAATAGTCCAATCGTTACATTCCGCTGATGTATGCTGCCGAATAGAGTAATTCGTTCGATGTTGACTTTAGTCTAATTTTCCTATTTCTGTATATTTCGATCTTTTAAAATAGTTTAAGCCGACAGCTAGCACATATGAAATTGGAGAACATGGGTGGATCGTTTTCAATTTTAATATTTACAGACAGTTAAGACGCCATTTCTTAAAAATTTAAGAATATGAGTGTACAAAAAATATGTTTGGACCCCCTTTTATTCAATATGAATAATCCAAGTCATGTGCGTATACCAGTCAATTAAAATATTCACAAACGTTTCTATTCTTTAAACTAATTCTTATAAATGAATTTGCGGTTAGGCAGATAGGGTCCAGCTCATTTTGTCTGTTTGTTTTTATTTTTGCTGTAGCTTGTTATATTAACTGTATTAAAACACTTTTTTAAAATAGATATTTACGAACTTATTATCCTGATTTTAGTTGTCCAGTTTCAATAATGTAATCAATGACGTTTATTACATATACATAAATTTAAAATACTTGAAGGTAAATATCCTTTTTTAAATCTCGATAAACTTTGCACATTTCAACAGTAAAAAAATCTATGTCTTCATTTGTCTTCATTATTTTGTTATACATTAAGAAACCTGATCACTTCATCGTTATTACCTGTTTTACTCGGGATCCGCTTTCAATTGGAAAATACTTTTAGATCAGTTTTAAACGAAAGGTAAAAAGCAAAAATAAATACAATTTTCCATGTTTAACTGCTGTAGTGTAAACATTTCTCTCCGTTTTTCAAGTTTTTTACATCATTCTATTTCTTTTTGAAGGTAGAAGTTTTATATGATACATAATTAATAAACTAGGATTTCCCACAGGTGCTTTATAATTACCGTACTCGATAAAATCACATGACTGATAAGAAATTTCAGATGCCATTTTACAACCACGGTATCACAGATAGTAACCAAAGGGGTCTTGCCGCTGAGACTATGATTGGATAAAATCATACGACGTTAGTACAGAGCTCTGCATGCCATTAATACATGCTAATTAGTCGTTGTTATTCCTTTTTAAATATTACTTCCATGCTATAAGCAATATGTCTACTATATTTGGTGTATGGAACGATTATAAGGTGTACATGTCCAGCTGGCAGGTGTCATCTGACCTTGACCTCATTTTCAGTGGTTCATTGGTCAATGTTAACTTCTTGTGTTTTAGTCTGTTTGTCAAATACTATAAGCAATAGGTCAACTATATTTAGTGTATTGATTGATTGTAAGGTGTACATGTCTGCATGGCAGGTATCATCCGACCTTGACCTCATTTTCATGGTTCATTGGTCAATGTTAATTTTTTGTGTTTTGGTCTGTTTTTCAAACACTATAAGCAGTAGGTCAACTATATTTGGTATATTGAATAATTGTAAGGTGTACATGTCTGTCTGACAGAATTTATCTGGCCTTGACCTCATTCCCATGGATTTTAAAAAAATTTAATGTTAAGTTTATGTGATACTTGTAGTAAAACCTTTATCTTTAAGACTTTTAACATAAGATCAATGCTCAGTTAAGCAGGCAAGACATTTCAGCGTGTGCACTCTTGTGTTAATTTGTCGGAAGAAAAAAATTGAATTGTAATGTTTACTTTCTTTTAAGCATGTTTAGTTATAAATATTTTACATTTATTAGTTTTTAAGTATATTGACCTTAAAAAGTCCAATTTGGGTAAATATCATTGTTGTGTTGCCGTCTTATTATTGTCAATACCCCAAACCTCCTTTTATTTGTTTGCTAATTTTCACTTTTTAGCAAGCAGTTTTATATTTCAAATACAACTGACATTTACTATTTTGAACATGAGCATTTAGCTTATAAAACTATTTTTATGCATGAACTATATCCCAATGTACTTTAGTGCTGATGCTTTGTTTTGGGAAAGGGAATTTTTTAATTATTGTTATAAAAGCAAGTAAGTTCAGACTTGTTGAATACTTCTTAATGTTTTAATTGAAGTTTTAGTAAAAATTATATTGTTCATAGGAATATTCAAATCAAGTAGTGATTACAGATACAACTGAATAATATGAAATAGATCAAATGGTAATTCCCCCTGTGTCAAGATCTAGAAAATCAAATGGTAATTCCCCCTGTGTCAAGATCTAGAAAATCAAATGGTAATTCCCCCTGTGCCGAGAGAATCAAATGGCAATTCCCTCTGTGTCAAGATCTAGAGAATCAAATGGTAATTCATTCTGTGTCAAGAGAATCAAATGGTAATCCCCTCTGTGTCGAGAGAATCAAATGGTAATTTCCTATGTGCATGAGAATCAAATGGTAACTCCCTCTGTGTCGAGAGAATCAAATGGTTATTCCCTCCATGTCAAGAGAGTTCACCTATGTTTGACTTCACATCTTTATATTTGATTGGCATTGCAAATCAAAATCAGTGACAGCCCATGCATGCATGCAGGAGAGCAAAAATTTAGGATATCCCTCAGCTATATTTAGATAAGAAATTAGTCACAGTGAGGCAGGCCGCAGACCCCAATTATTTTGGTTTATAGTGATAATACCAAAACAGCCTATGGGGAATAACCTATTTCAAATTTTAAGTGAAGAAATGTTGAATATTTGATAAACATATTTATAAAGAGAATTCCTTTTTACTGTTCATATTTTTCAGGTGGTGAAAGAAAACATTGGTTTTCTTATAGTGATAATCAAGGATCTCGTAATCATTGGGTGCAACAACTATTTAATGCATTCAAGAAAGAAGTTGGTAAAGCAAGAGAGACATGTTTTACTAATTCACCTACTCAGTCACCTGCTCATCAACCAGCCAATCAGCGAACTCCAGAAAAAAGTTTATCCAATCAGAGGACTCCAGAGAAGATGTCTTCTGCTGCTAGTCAAACTCCACCAAAACCAAATGCATCTCCTCAACCAACCAGGAAAACAGCTCAATCTACCCAAAAACCAAGAACAACCAAACTTTTAGAAAGCTGTATTGTTTTGAAAATTGAAGAGTTTACAATTTACCAAGTGTCGACTGCTGACAATACACGTAATACACCAAAGAAGTTTCTATCATCTGATAAGAAGCAGCTCCATCTACCTTCAGATACATCCATTCTTCATGCAGAATATACTGAGTATTTCTTCCCAGAAGGCATTGATTATCCAGGTAACATTTCTGTCATTTTCTAAAACCTCTCTATAAGCCTATATAATGCTTGATACTTACAAAATCTTGGAGCTTAATCTGATTATCTCCCCTTCATTTTTATACGCCCGTTTACGGGACGTATTATGGTATACCGTTGTCCGTCTGTCCGTCCGTCCGTCTGTCCGTCTGTCCGTCCGTCTGTCCGTCGTCAACATGTCGGACATTAACTCAAAATTGCTTAAACCAATTTGCATAAAACTTTGGTGAATTGTTTATATCTATTGACGTGAGCTCCCTTTCGTTTTTTATAAAATTTAGATTTTACGTTTCCGAGTTATGGGGTTTTATTCATTAAAAAAAGGGGGATTTTCCAGTTTTCGGACAATAAGTCAAGAATGCTTTCACCAACTTGCAAGAAATTGTGGTGAATTGTTTATATCTATTGACATGAGCTCCCTTTTGATTTTTATAAATTTTAGATTTTACGTTTCCGAGTTACGGGGTTTTATTCATAAAAAAAGGGGGGACTTTCCAGTTATCAGACAAAAACTCACAAATGCTTTCAGCAATTCTTATGAAACTTTGGTGAATTGTTTGTATGTATTGATGTAAGCTCCCTTTAGAATTTTATAAATTTTACATTTTACATTTCTGAGTTATGGGGTTTTATTCATTAAAAAGGGGTGATTTTCCAGTTTTCTGACAATAACTCAAAAATGCTGTCACCAATTCTCATGAAACTTTGGTGAATTGTTTATATCTATTGATGTAAGCTCCCTTTTTATTTTCATAAATTTCTAATATGACATTGAGAATTAATTATACTTTATTTGTTTATAGTCTGACAACAGATTTACTAAGTATTTTGCACAACAGCAAGAAATCTTTAATTGAACATAAATTCAATTCATATAACCAATTTCAAGTTCTTTGAATACATTTATTCAGACACCTATAATATGTCAAATATTTAATTACAATCCAAATTCAGACCTGAATCAAGCTTGAATATTGTGTCCATTTTTGCCCCAACTGTTCAGGGTTGGACCTCTGCGGGCGTATCTAGCTGCGCTCAGCGAAGCAGTTTATTAAGTTAAGATTACAATTACCTTAAAATTATTACCTTAGAAATTGAAACTTGTCCTTTCCGTTCTTTATTAGCAACAGCATGTCAAGTCTTGAAATTCTAGATATATATGTATATAAGTTTTTATAACATTGTCATTGTACAATGCATTGTCTATGAAATTTTAAAAGGGAAAATCTAGTAAAGTAACTACAACTGTATTATTAGTTGGTAACAGTTAATAAATGATAATCGAGACATTTATGATGCAGGATAGAGTCCTTAAAATATATATCCTTAAAGTATCCATAGATATAATAGATACAAGAGATAGTAATATTAATGTAAACATAAATTGCTGTTGTATGTGGGCTCAAATAAAGTTTTACCACACCAGGAACCATTGAGGCAAACATGAAGGTAATTTTGTGTTTGCTTCCAAGGTTATAAATTTTGTACTCTGTCCTTGAGCCTTTATACATGCCTGTCAACAAACAATATGTTGTAGATATTGGCAATCTCTAGATTAGTTGGTTTTGGTGCATACCAATTTTTCATGGATTGATGAAAAATTGTATTTTGCCAAAGTCTGCATACCAGCCTAAAGAAAATTTGTACTTCATTGATCAATCCGCCGTTTGAGAATCTAAAGGACTATGGGTAATTTAATTGTTCGTACCCCAAAATAAAAATTACGTCACGTCATTGGTTGAATTTCAATTGTTTAGGACGTTTTTAACCAATCACAACACTTTGGTGTACACTTTTGAAAATATTACACAGAATGCATTAGATTCTGAAATGGTAAATTAACTTCATGGTTAACCTATATCCACAAAATTAGGGAAAATAAGTATTCCACGAATTATAATGAATCGACAGTAACTTATTTTTGCCCTTTTTCTTCCTCTGCTAAATATTGATTTACCCTTTCTTGTAGATTTGTAGGTCCATATGGATTTTGTAAATATTTTGATTTAGGCCCATCTCTCAGAAGCCAATAATGGCATATCAATAGTTGTTTAACCACATTAATATTTTTATTATTTCAAAACTTGAGTCACCTTGACCTACTTTTTGTGCTTTGGTTATATTTCCCCCTAAGGTCTGACTGAAATAGAGAAAGATAAGATAATCACCACAATAAAACTAATGCTGAGAGGGAGACAACTATTTCAAACTAAGCCTTGAAACTTCAATATATGTCTGTCAGTCTGGTAGTAGCACTATTTATTTTACTGGTTGAATATTTATAACCATGCAAACTTATTTGATGGTGTAACTGGTGTAAGAATTTTTATTTTTTTTTGAATAGGTGAAACATTTCTGATTTTCATACTTCTGTGTGTGAGAAGTTTGAATTTAAATCATTTTAAAAGTTAATATTTGCTTGAAATGCTTGTCAAAGCGATCATAACATATTTAATTATAGTTAAATAAGTTTCATAATGATATGACAATTTTAGCTTGAATGTCATATGATTATATTGTAAAAAAACCCAGTCCAACTGGCAAATAGAACTATTCAAATAATATTGTTATTTTTTTCGTATGAAAATGACTAATTATGAGTCAATTTTTTATGAAATTTAGATAAATTTGACTTTAAAATTGTTTTAAATGTCATAGATATCAGTTTAAACATGTTGTAAAACTAAACTAGTTGCACTTTAAATATGGATCAGGAAATGGCCCAAGAGAAAGGTTTCTGAGAATCTGGTTGTGGAAAATGAGTAGAAAGATTGGTAAATGGTCACTAGTTTGAGCCTACAACACGTTTTTGTGTCAGTAATCAAAATTTACATGGTTTTCACCTAATTTTTTTTTTTAACTTGAGTTGTTTTGGTTGATTTCATTTTCGGCACATCAATCTAGAAAAACAAGACCAATGCGGTAAACCCATGATATACACACGTTTGGAATATATTCTTGTAAAGCGGAAGAAAAACATCTTAGTTTTTAAGTGATTCATGTCTATAGAAGACTATTTATTGGCCGTCACTATATATTTTGAGGGGTTATTCCATGTTTTACCAGTCTGTAATTATTTCCAAAATATATTTTTGCTGTCATTTTCAAAATGAATACTCATGGAAAATATGTATTTGGTTTGGTACTGATTTTCTTGTTTCCCCAGTGAAACAAAATCTATGAAAATTGATACTCAAGGAACATGTATTAATTTTTCAGATCAATTTATAAATTCAGTATTAATGCATCATATCTGTCCCTGACACAAAAATGTGCAAGTGGGGCCATGCTGACATGTCAGTTTTCAAGTATTCATTATATTGGTAAATTGTATATGTTAAACATGTGGGGAATGTACAAGTAATACAATTTCTATTTACTTATTTATAGGAAAAAAGGAAAAGCAAATTTTTCTCTAACCTACAAATATAAATGCATCCACAGTATGTAAGGGTGTCCTTTCCTCTTTTTTTTGAATTTTTGTCAGATATTTGGAATTCTCTGGTTTTATCTGTATATTGCCATTAAAAATTTTGTCCGCTAACCCCTACTTTTCTTTTTATAATTTAATTACAGATAGTTTAAAAATCCATTTCTGAAAATCCTATAAAATCCTTGATATTGTTTCGTAGTTTTTGAAAGAAAAAAGGTACCAATGATAAATGGATGAAAAATCTAGAGAGAATCATTTCCCGCCAAATTTTCAATGGCTTATATCACGAAAAAAAGGACATTTTTTCAGCTTTTTTAGTTCTGTTATTTATAAACTATAAATTTATAACAGTCTTTTAAAAAGCTTGTTATTTTGAAACAGAGTAGCGAACATCCTTAAGAACATATTTCTGTTTAACTAAAGTATGCTGTGATAAATAAATACATGTTCTTATACCACCAAGGAAAGCATGTATCAAAGAAAACCTTTCTAGCAAAACCAGTCAACTTTTAGCTTGTAGTGCAAAAAATTAAATTTCAGAATTGCAGATATTAATTAGACATATTAGAGTTTCATTTGAAATGGATGTAAATTAATATAATCTAAGTTAAGAGGTGTTTAATGAACGATAATCTCCTGCCCACCTAGTGCAAAATATCAAATTTAGAATAATTTAGATAATGGAAGATTCTTATTAAAGTTTAAAAGTTCAAATTTCTCATATTTTGGAGTGTGTGAAGCTTGGATTTAAATCATTTGAAAATTGGATTTTCAATTGTGTCAAAGTAACCATTATATATTTAACTATATGAAGTGAAATTATGTTTCATAATGATAGCACAATTTACATGATTTAAGAACAAATGTCATATTATTTAGTTATTTTTGTCAATTATGCTAATTATCATCACCTCTTTATGAAATTGAGAAAAATTTGACATTAAAATTGTTTCTAATGTCGTGGATATAAACTATATACAAATTATTTATATGTTGTGGACTTTTAAACATAAAATATCTGGACCAGTCATCCAGTGAATGGTTAGAGAGGTTGGATACTGAAATCCTGCCTACGATAATAGATCAGCATCATGTTTACTGTGACTTTTCTATTTATCAGACCGAGTATATGCTGTCCCATATCAAATTAAAGTTTTTACTTTAATAAGGTAGTTTGACATGAAGATGAAGTCATATCAACATGAAACTTAGCACATATTTTCATTATGTGAATAACATAAAAGTACCAATTTTACTTTCTTTCTTAAATTTATATCAAATTTAGTGTAAAGTAATACAAAAAAATCTCATCCTATAAAATATGAACACCCTGCAGTTAATAGGACAGAATTTAAACTTTTCTACACATATATATTAACAGGGATAGTAAGGTTTATTGTCAAGTGGTTTGTATGTTGTTTGAATTTGTTGGTCAGTTGCGTTGTGTGTCTGTGATGTGTGTTTACACAGTTTTGGATGGTGGATCCCAATTATTGTCACGTTACCCTATTATGTCTGTTTGGGTTGCTCACCAAATTTTCCAACTGA